CTAGGAAATTATCCAATTTATTTATTTACATAGAGGTTTAAAATATTTTTTTCCTTTGTTTCAGTGGATATTTCCTCTTTGTCATTTCTTATTTTAATGTTTATGTTTGCTTCCTTTTTTCTAAAGTTAGCTAGTTGTCTACTTTTTCTTAAAAAAAATAGATTTTGATTCATTAATTAGAACGTTTTTCTGTTCTCTATCTTGTTACTTTCTGCTTTTATCTTTATAATTTCCTCCCTTAAACTTTCATTTGGTTTATTCTGCAGTCTTTTTCTTGCCTTTTGAGTTGGGATTTTAATTAATTTTTACCTTTGGTTTTTATCTTTTATTATTATTTAATTGTTTAAGCCTATGTATTATGCTCTGATGGCTGCTTTATATAAATCCCCATAGATTTTGATATGCAGACTTTTTGTTACAACTGTATTTTAGGACTCCTATAATTTCCATTTCTATTTTCCCTTTCAACCAAGAGTTAACAGATTTAAAATTTCAAAGAGGAAGAGCTTTGTTATGGTTTGAATTTGTTGTTAATTTCTAGCATGGATGCACTGTGACCAGAGGATGTTGTTTTAATATTTCTACTTAACAGAACTTACTGTTTTGTTTTTATCAATGTTCTATGTGTACTTCAAAAGAAGGTATATTCTCTATTATAAGGGTGTAAAGTTCAGCATAAAGCCATAAGATCTATTTTATTGGTTATGCTCTTTAGGTCTTCCAGATATTACTGATGTATTTTGTTCACTTCATCTGTCTTGTACTGAGTGTGGCATATTAAAATCTTCTATTATTCGTATGTTTCTATCTATTTCTCTTTGTATCTCTTGTAGTTTCTGCCATATAATAGTGGTGGTTGTATTATTTGGTATAGTTATTAAAAACTTGTATTTTCACTTTGAATCATGGCTTCAACATTAAAAACATCCTTCTTTGTCACACAATGCTTTTTGAAGGGAATTCCACTTTATATGATATCAGGATCACTACCCCTGCTTTCTTATTATTTGTTTCTAACTTTTCTGAATCACTTTGCTTTAGTTTTAGATGTGTCTTTTGTATATAGCATAAAGTTCAATCCTAATTGCTGATCAAATTCAAAAATCTTTTTTCTTTTGATATTAAGTTAAGCTGATTCATTTCGATTCATATGACTGATGTTTAATCTCAACTCTGTCATATTGTTTTATTAAAATAGTTACATATATTACTTTAAATTTAATGTATTTCTCTAAGTGAAATGTCTTTTTTGTACTTAATTCTTTTGGTATTCAGAAAAGAGGCTTTTTTGGCCTAGGGGTTACTTTTGTACTTATGCCTTTTATAGAACCCTGAGTTCTCCCCTTTTCTTCCTTAACCTTTTACTATCTAGTTTGTTACTTTTAGATCATAATCTTCAATACTCAACTTACTACGTAGGCAATAGTCAATGAACTTATTCTACTTTGCCCTTTCCTTCTCCCATTTAAAAAACTGCATTCTCTCTACTTTACCAGACCATAAAATGTCTATATACTATTCTTCAGTCCTTATTACACCTGTTTTAGCCTTAGATCTATAGTTAAATGTGTTAAATGCTCATCATTAGACATTTTGCCCAAGTTTGCCCAGTCTTCTCTTAGTTGGATGAACATCGTTCTCTAGTACAATGCAGTCAGTAGAACTTTCTGTGATGAAGGCAATGTTCTATATCTGCACTGCCCAATACAGTAGCCATAAGCCACATATGGGTACTGAGCACTTGAAACGTGGCTAGTGTGACAGAGGAACTGAAATTTGCATTTTAATTTTCATTTATTTAAATTTAAATTACCACATTTGGCTAGCAGGTACTAAATCAGAGAGAGCAGTACTCACGGATTCATCAGGAAGGAGTCATGTGTACAGTTTTCAATGAGTACTTGTATGTTTAAAACTGTCTTTCTATAACCTGGATAACTGAAAAACAATTTGGTTGGAATATAAAATCTTTGGTTTGCACTAAAAATGCAGTTCCACTGATGCCTTTCTTTTTATGTTGCTGATGAGGTCTAGTGCCAGCCTAATTTTCTTGCCCTTATAAGTAGTCTGGTCTTTTTTCCTGGAGCTGTGAGGATTATTTTTCATTTTTAAAATCCAGTAATTTTACTAGTCTCTTTCAGAGTTGACCATTCCAAGTCAGTTTTATGAGACAAAAATGGACTTTTCAATATCCAGATTTGGGTCTTCTTCCATTTCCAAAAAGTCTTCTTTCAAATTAATTTGAAAATTACGATTTTAAATATAAGATCTGTTTCATTGTTTTGTTTTCCTTCCTCAGGGACTCCAATTACAGTTGTATTGAATCTTCTTTGTCTGTCTTCCATTTCAATCACTTTCTCTCTGACCCTTTTTATTTCTTTATCTCATTTTCATTCTCTTGCTTGTTTCTCTTTCTTAAATAGCCCTTATTAAATACTCAACACATTGTAATTCAGGCTTAATTTCTCTCCTAAGTTTAATCAATTCTAATTTTATTTCTTTTGGGGGGTGAGGAAGCTATTTCTGTTATTACTTTTTATTTTTTTAATTAATTTTTATAGGTGTTATTAGTTTTTAAATTTTTATTCATTTATTGGTTTGAGGCTAATTCAGTTAGGAGTACTGTGCTGCAGTTTCTTTCTGCTTTATAATTAGTTGTGGGGAAAGAACATCCATGAGCCAAAAGGTATTGATTCTCATTTTCTGTTTTTTTATTACAGTAGCTTTGCATGGATGTAGACTGATTTTGCGGGGGTTCCACTTTGTGGAAAGAGTAAAGGTTTGGGGTGGCTTAAAAGATTTCAAGTTCAAGCCTGCCCCCTTCTGAATAGTAAAGGTTAGTGTCCTTTTTCATATACATTTATTTGTTTTGGTGGCAGGGCGGGGTGCAAGGAGAAGGGTCTAATGTATTTTATAGTTGTGTTGTTTCAGTAGGATCTTAATTCCTCACTCTAACTTCCTTCTTTCCCT